TGGGGTTTTGGCGGGGGCTTTTTCTGCAGTACAGCGCTCCAAAAAGGAGCAGGATTAGATGGAGGAGGAGGAGGAGGAGGAGGAGATGACGACTCCATTGGAAACGGTGATCGGAGATCGATGAGGATTAGGGTTTTCTAGTGATAAAAGGAGGGGAAACGGGTCGGGTCCAGCTAAACTGAAGTCAGTATATTACCGGGTCCGGTTAGATTTCGATCCGTTACGAGAAAAAAGAGTTAGCCCCAGAGGACCCCCAGGCTTAAAATCCTAAAAAAAATCGAAGCTTTTTTCTGCTCGTAGTCGATGCCGCCACCTTCATCCTCCACCTCAGGACCACCTCCGTGGTCCGCCTCCTTCGATCTCTTCCTCCTTCATCAATCTCATCGATATTAGCTCCTCGACCTCTTTCTCCTCCTCCTCCTCCTCGTATCAAAGTTCTCATGGCTTCCTCTTCTTCTTCCGCTTCTGCCTCCTTTAACCCCAGAAGGAGGTAAAATTGAACCAGACTCATTTAATATTTCGACTCCTTGCTTCATTCTCTACTTACCCATCTGGGTTTCTTTGTAGCGGGGGAGGCCGAGGTCGCGGCGGCGCTGCTGTCGGGTCTGATCGTATTGATGCGCTTGGAAGACTGCTGTGAGTTTCTCTTTGATTTCTTGGTTTGGGTGTAAATTCTCTTTGATTTCTTTAAGTTTTCATGCTCAAATATTGTGCAAATCATCTCACAGTTCAGGCTGTTTTGTGAAATTTTATGTAAATTTTGGAGCGCCCCCCCTCCCCCCCAATAGCTTGGATGATTGATTGTTGCTTGGTTTCAGGACACAGGTATTGAGGCATATGGCTTCAGAGCTGAAGCTAGATATGAGGAGTGATGGGTTCGTTCGAGTTAAGGATCTGCTTTTGCTGAATTTGACGACTTACGCGAAAATTCCGTTGAGGTCGCATACTATTGAAGAGATTAGAGAGGTCAGTTCTTTGCTACCTCATAATGTTGATGTTACTAATTCTTGTTGTATTATTTGTTTCTCGTTTGATTTTTGGTATATAGTGTACGTTTATGAATATTTCTATTAGTGAACTATGTTGGTCAGGTTATCATAAGAATGCAAATAATTGAAGTTAGAATCGGATGGTTGAACTTCCAATATGAAAATCTACTTCTCGAAGTAACCTGTTGCTCAGTAATTTTCTACGAACTATTACAACCAAGGACTTTTTAAACTTGCATGCATAGTGGTTATTATGGAGTGGTATTTACAGTGCAATAGACGGAAGTGTTTGCAAATCTAAATGCTTCTAAAAGTTTGCAGCTCAACTCAAGATTATGTCCAAAATAAATTGCTGGCACCATTATGCTGATATGTTTTGTCACATCAAAAGGCCTTCTAAAACACGAACTGGTTGATACATTTGATTATAAAATTTTTACACAATAATTGGCAATTGAAATTATAACCTAATGACTTTCCTCCCGGATCTTCTCTGATGCTGCCAACTTGCCAACTTTTATCTTCAGCCATTTTTTGCGATCATAAATCTATGCCAAAAGAATTACATAGATTTCCTGTGCTAAGTTGATTAAGATACCAGTTGCTCCTCCCTGTTGGCACTTTGCACTTAGGCTGTTACTTTTCATCATGTTTAGACGTCATCTGATCACAAGTGTCAATCCTTCATAAACTTTCTGAAGGTGATCTATCATCCTGGAGATGGACATGTTCTGGATTTAATTCTGGAAGCAGATACTACTGGAGGTTTGTTTTACCTTGTAAAATTTAATTAGGAGACACCAACTTACAGTGGTTAGTGTTGATAAGAAATTCCTCACTCAGCGACACGCTTCCGGTGAATATTTCATTTCTATAATTTTCATTCTCGTCATTAACATTTCATTATAAGGAGTAATTACAGTGTTTTGAAGGTGATGCACCTTAGTGTCTTAGGCGCTCAGGCGAGGCGATCTTCTAACTTAGCGCCTTACATATTGCCAAGCGATGAATGTTACCAAGGCAAGCGCCTTTTGGTGCGTCAATAGCCTTAGCACCTCATGACCTTGCCTCCGTGCCTCAGGCGCGACGTTCGCCTAAGGCATGTGATGCAAGATGCATGATGTTTGTCTCTAGTTTAGAATTTTGAGGGTGTGAAAGGTGTCCGATAAAGTAAAGTTTGTTTATGTTATTGAATTTCTATATTTCTTTTTTCTTGGTCGATTTTTTGCCTTTTTTGTTATAATGTACTTTATTACCTATATCATTTTGAGGACATGCCAAAATTTGAACCTTAAAGTTCAAAGTTTGCTGCTTAATAATCTATGTTAGCAGTACTAGTTAATACTACTATTCATTATTTGTTACTTACTACTTCATTAAAATGGTTTATAAATTATTAGATTTGTGATTTTGAAAATTTAGCACTGATTAAGTTGTCTTGTTGCTATTTATTGATATTTTCATATTATTTATAATGTCTATGATTGTTTTTGAATATTTATCACCTTGGTTCGATCAGGCGATTGCCTTTCTTGGCACCCTTCGCCTCATGCAACATAGGACCTAATCGCGTTGACCTCGCCTTTTGCTTTTAAAACATCGGGAGTAAAGTTAAATTCTAATTGCACCAACTTACAATGCTTAGTGTCGATAAGAAATTCCTCACTCAGTGGCACTCTTTTGGTGAATATTTCATTTCTATAATTTCATTCTTGCTGCTAACGTTTCATTGTAAGGAGTAAAGTTGAATTCTAATAGATATTCCAAACTGATACTTGAAGATTAAAGGTAGCTCGTAACTGCACTTTTAGCCTTTCTTATAATAATTGTCTGATCATAAATACTTAATTTATGATAAGAAAAATCTATGGATATAGTAAATGTGAATGACATTTGGGTGACTACATCAACTGAATGGATCCTCATTTAAAGAATAAATAAATAAGAACACACATTTGATGGATTTTTCAGTCAGTTAGCAATTGGGATTTTCTCCTCCTTTTCCTTCCGCCGTCTTGATAGATATAGACGATTGACAACCGATTAGAAACCTAAACTATACTTTTGAACTATTTCTCGTGATTTTCTTGAAGCCATGGCATGACTCTTGTTTACTAAGCCTTTCTATCGAGTTAATTTCTACTCGGAATGCCCTTTACTTTATGCTAATTTCAACTAATTGTCTGTGTTGTATATTAAGCAGGCAGTTAGGAAGGATAATAAGCAGCGGTTTAGCCTTTTGGAAGAAAATGGAGAGCTTTTTATTCGTGCGAATCAGGGCCACTCAGTAACGGTAAATGTTTTGGCAAGTCGATATGCTGTTTAAGTTCCTTAAATTAAGCAGGACTGGTTTGGAATGCAGCTTTCCCACGCGTATGCAAATACATAAGTAAATGTGTGTATCATATTTTATGTTCTTTTTATGAGGTTAATAATTTGATGCTATCTTATACTTCATGTGTATGCAGATATATAATAGGTTTCCTCCATAGAGTATAAAGCTTGATAGGAGTTTGACTTGCACTACTATCTGCAGGAATGTTTGACTACGTCTGCTATGTAAATTTGTTTGTGGCTGTAATTTGGAATTTGTTAGACTCGACACCCACATCATTGTTATGGTTTCAGAAACCAAGGACTAGAACTTAGTGCTATTTAAGTTTGCCACCATGTTCGTTATTTTCTCTGGGTGCCATTTAAGTTTGTCAACATGTTTTTCATTTTATCCAGAGATTCTTCTCTTACCATAAGTCCATCACATATGATAAACTTATTTATCGTATGATTCTCTCTACGAGATATGGAGCTAGGGGTCAATGATGCTGTTTGCTTTCAGGATGTTCTTTTTTTCTTTTTCTTGTAGATAGGATCATAGGAAATCACCCATACATGAAGAGAGGCCTAAGATCAGCTACAATGTTGGCCAACTAAGTGGACTCTACATTTTAGTATAACTTGTTGGAGATAAACCATGAATATTTTGATTTTAATCATTTACTTTAGAAATAGCTGCATAAATTAAACAGAGTAGTCACAGGAGATGACTAGAGAAATTTCAGGATGGGGTTGAAGCATCCAAGTGGTTCCCTATGAGGACGGCCACTATACCTGATAGTGGAAAACTCCCATAAAAGGGTTGAAGCATCCAAGTGGTTCCCTATGAGGACGGCCACTATACCTGATAGTGGAAAACTCCCATAAAAGGTCATCTAATATCATGATCATATGGGGAGTAAGGAGACTGCAACAAGTTTCCAACACAAATTTTAAAGTTGGTGATTGCACTGATGTAGTACCCCACCCAACCCCCAATCCCCATCCACAAAAGAGGAGAAAAAAGAAGAAGAAAAAAGAAAACAACCACCACCTGTGGCACTGCCAGACACAGTCACATAAAACTTGTAACTTTTCTGTTAAGTATTCTACTAGTTCACACGCGAAGGCTACATGTCTATAGCTTAGGATTGCTCCCAAAGTGAGAAAAGAAAGCTTCTAAGAAATTTGTAAAGTGCTGTGACTGTACTTTGTAAATTCTCTAAGCTAAGTTTTGTGTCACTGAAGTGGCTAGAAGTTAGCTAACTGGTAGCCTGGTAAGATTGAATAAAGTCTATTCTACCTTCTCTAGCAATCAGCCATGACCTCACATACATGCGAATTAGGAACTTCAATTCTTTTATCTAGTGAATAGCTCCAGTGATTCCTGCTATGCTTACTGTTTTGAATCTGGGAAGTCAAACGGACGAGATGACTCAGAAACAAGCATAAAACACCCCTGCTGTATATGCAAATAATGCAAATCACACATGCTGACAAGTACATGAATGAGACTGGTGTTTCTTTTTCCTCAAGCGTTTGCATAATAGGCTTAAATCAAGTTACCGAAAATTAACATATGGTATAATATGCTTAGTTTTCTTTTGCTGACCTGAAAACAGTGGAAGTATAAATCAATAAACCTTGGGCTGTTTCCTAACATCTGTGTTACGTATCATCAAAACTAAAATTAAATGATCAACTGAAATTCTAAAAAAACCAAGTAATGATGATTTAACAGGTCCACTATGGAACTTGTGTAAATATTTGGTTTAGACAATGAACCTTGTTTATATATTTCAAAGTTATATACAATTTCACCCAATATATTAATTAAAAAATTGAATGGTTCCAAAAATGAATACAATAGCTAACTGTTTTTGAGTTGTTAAGCATACTTTTACATATGACAAAAATAGTTATCCTGTACATTTCAAGAAAAAAAGATCAACCATCATTGGCTAAAGACTTTGTATCTAAACTGTAACTAATGGTCTATTAATTTTGTTATACAATCCAAAAATAAATAAATACACAAATGCAAACTAAGAGTGAACATCTGAAACTACTGAAACCTGCTTCTTGAGCTGTATAAGAGGGACTGAATCCGAGCCTTCAGACCTTGGGTTTTTGTATTATTTGATCCCTAGTTGCTCAAAAACTTGTTTCCTACTAGGAGCAACTTCCAGTGGCTTATTTCTCTTTTTACGGTTTAGTTTTGTTCATTTTTAATTGTTCCATATTCCTTGTAGACTATAAGCTCCGAGAGGTTATTGAAGCCCATTCTCTCAGCTGATGAAGTACCAGGTAAAATTCTGGAGAAGAAACTTCTTGACGACTTTCCCCCTAAAATTTCAGCATTCATAATGTATATAGCAAGCTGCAAAAAAGCTAATGGCCCTATACTACAGTTTGTGTGCATGGAACCTATAAGAAGAACTTGGAGTCAATCTTGCAATCGGGACTAAAGCAGATGTCAAGATTACACGTTCATTTCTCTAGTGGCTTGCCTGCAGATGGCAAAGTAATTAGCGGTATGTTCTCCATAATTTATTATCATTTTACGGTTGTAATTTATTTTTACCTTCACGAGTTAAAATTCTGATATCTACTGTAAAGTAAGTTAATCCTGCATGACAATTATGGGTAAAATTTGAAAAGCTAAATTAATTTAGAAAGACAGATTTAAATCCTGCCTTCATCATTCACCCTTCTAAAATAATCATACAAAACTACATTAGTTTAGAATGACTAGGGCGGCATTACACTGAAATAAAGCTTTGACATATGCACACAAAAGAGAAGTACAACAAAAGGACACACATGTCTAGTTAAGATATCGTAAATTAAAACTCATCTCTTCTTCCTTCCATCTTCAACGTCCCAAACGATAAACCTCACTAATCATTTTCTGGACTGTATTCAAAAAATCTTTTCCATTTGGTGCTTGAGGCCGATGGTAAGTGCTTGTCATAGCATTCCTACATACGAGTCCTCCTGACTTCCTTTTGAGTAGAATGTTAAACTGCATGATGATGATGATCCGGTCTCTCTGAAATTGTTTCATCCAGTTCAGAGAACTCATTTCAGTGTTACCCTTATACCAGACACAGATGTCAAGTGTTAGAAGTTTTTTCAAAGTGTCTGACATAGTAACTTTTGAATGTGAGGGAATGGGGATGCAGTGTGTCTGTGTGTATAAGATATTGGATATGAGCTGCTACCTCTTTAACCAAGTAAGCTGTTAAAAGAGAATGGTAGCGCTGAGTATTGTTTGGTTGTAATCGAACAAAGACCGAACCGCCCGACTTTTAGCGGTTCGGTGCAGTTTGAATACTGGCTTCAGTTTCATTTAAGCTGTAGTAAACTCACTCCGCACCAAATTGACCGACCTCACTTAAGGATTCACGTTAATACTTCACTCATTCCAATCCTTTGTGTGTCCCACCTAACTATACTCATTCAAAGTCTCACCGTTACACCATTGCCAAGTCCGTGGGCCTACTCAATGCATAATATGAAGTCCCACGGTAAAACATCATTTCAAACTAATTTCAAGCTGTCCCTTTCATCAAAAAAGAAAGAAAAAGGAAAATTGCAAGCTGTCTCCAAAAAAATCAACTGAATAATAGAGAGAGAAGCTCGCCTTCAACCTTCTTGCCAAATATCAATAACAAACCGACCATCATAGCTTATTCCTCAATCACCTTTTGGTTCTTTTTCAACCTCTAACTTATTTAATCTCCAATCTATCTTTTTATCTTGTATTTACCATGACAATGGGGTCTATGCTTAATGGATTGCAAGAGCCTATTCTTGCAAGTTGCTTCATGGTGGTGGAGCAAAAACTGACTTAACCAAACCGAAACCGCTTGGTTCGTTTTCGTTCAGTTTGTCCGGTGGTTCGGTTTAGATTCGGTTTGATTCAAGATGATCAAAACTGGCCAAACCGACCATATGCTTTCCCCTAGAGAGTGGTGATATCCACTAGTTCCAGTATGACTAGTAGGATGCGCTTTGCCGCCGGCCTATATCTGGGTAGATAATTTAGCAACATGAACCGGCTAACTCAAACAAAGTTTTCCTATGCACACGTGTGGATATATATATGTATATGGAAAAGTGGGTATGTTGTGGCTACTCATTTTTTTGATGAGCTGCTGAGAGATAGATTAGTGGTAATGATCATCCTGCTAATCACATCGAAGAAGCTGGACCTTGTCATTGACATCTCTTGGTTGCTCATTTTGTTAAATTAGGTGACATTTCATAACTAGTATGCCCACAAGTACACATTAACATACACATGCAACCATGCACGCATGCACATATGACACATGCATACGCAAGCACACCCACCCCACACCCATCCACATGCAAGGGCACATGCACAGACGCATCCACGTGACGCCCGCACACAGACACAAGAAGTGCGCACGCACACCCCACCTACCTGCCTACACGCAAGCACGTGCACACCTGCGTGTGACATACAACTTTTTCTCTCGCCAAGTTAGCGCTTACATTAGCACCACGTCAACCAGTCTCTAGAATGTTAATGTATATTCTTGAATATTCTTGTATATTCATGCATAAGAGATATTTGTATAGAATCTCTAGAGGATTAATCTTGATCATTGGATGTATAAAATTTCGAGAAGAGAAATCTGGGCCATTTATGTAAACGGGAGCCTCTCTTATGTAAAGAGGCCAAGGGGGAGCTCATTTGTATCCAAACAAGCTTGAGTAATAGAAATCTCAAGTTCCCTCTAAAGTTCTCTAGTGTTCTTGTGTGCTTTGTTTGGTAGGCTAGGCTTAGCCATTCTAGTGAGCCAAGAGTAACTAAGTGTCGCACAGGAAGGCTAGCTCGTGAGATAAAAAAAGGCGCTGTGACACACGCGCGCACATCAAAATGCATGATATGTTATGGAACACAGTGTACAGAAGTGCATGATATGTTGGAAAACACACCATTCAGTACTGCACAATTCATTAGAAATTGAATGATTCGCCGTATATAACATACCAAAGTGGATGATATGTTAAAAATTGAATATTCACTCCGTTCATATTTATCAAAGCAACTTCTTAAATATGAAAATTTTTAACTTTTAGTTTATGAATTATGAGATTATTTATCTTGAGAAAAAACGATTTGGCCACCATTTGATGCACTAGTAAAAGGTCATATGAGTTGCATGGTTTGATTTTTAATAACGTAATAGCATGAAGATATATGGAATGAAGCAGCTTATCCAACTTTTCATATATCATGCATTTTAGCAAGTTGGAATTAACTAGTTTCTTAGTCATATCATGAGAATATTAAAGACTCAAAAATGTATATACATGTGTCAGTATGTAGAATATGCATCTAAATATCCTATGCAAATAGAAGATCTGCACCGTCAAACATGACCTGAATTATATGGAACTCCTGTAAACGAAGGTCCAGTATTTCTTTTGTTTATTTCTTGTCCATCAAATGAGATCAAAATTGATGGTCTACGTAGCTAGCGGGGTAGTTTTACCGTCTAAAATATTTTGACTCCAACAAAATCTGGTATAAAAGTACTTTTTGCACTGTCTAGATCAAGATTAAGCGATTGAATTGTCAATCTCGAAGCTTTATCTTTATCCAACGTGCTATTTTAAACCATTCATTGTATTACATATTTTTTAGAAGTTGGGTGATAAAGTTCAATTTAATTATTGAAAAGGAAAGAACTGGTGAGAGTTACTTCAATGTTCTCCGTCTGTTATGGATGAATCTCCTTTGCAGCGAGTGCATCAGAGCCTTCACTACATATATACTGTTGTTATATGTTCCTGATATTCTTACGTTCAAATCTAAGAATTTTTTTTGAACTCTCAATTCATAAATTGCAATTTGTTGATGACAGTCAAGAAGTTTTTCTTTTACTAAGTATAATTGATTTTTTTTCCTCATGAAGGCATGCGACGGGATGTCAATATTTTAATTTTCTTGGATGTGAAAAAGGCATTAGAAGGTATATAACTTGACCTTGATTGTTGTTTCATATTTTAGGGTAATAACCTTGATTGTTGTTTCATATTTTAGGGTAATAAATAAATAATATCCTAATGCAATCTAATAATTATGCTTCTCAGATGGAATGAAGCTTTATGTTTCAGATAACAAAGTTATCTTGACCGAGGGCTTTGATGGTGTAGTTCCAGTCAAATACTTTGAGAAGATTGAAACATGGCCAAAAAGAGAGCAGATACAATTCTAAGTCAGGTGGTGGTTGTTCTATTAAATTAGTAATCAGCTTGATATTCTGTTCTATTTAAATTGAAATACTGTATTCTGTGCCTCTATGATTGCAGAAGTATGAATGCATGTAAATTTTGCTCAGGAATAACATTTTGAATCCAGAAAGTTTTTGAATTTGGTTTCAGAGAAAAGTATTTGGTTTCAGAGAGAAAAGTTAGAAAATAGAAAATTCTGATGGCAATGTCAGCATATATTACCTGTAGATATTACTTTCTTCTGTATCTGAATAACTATTATGTTTTGATATATATATATATACACACACACACACAAACACACACACACACACACACACCTAGTATCTCAGACATGCACTGTTTCTATCTATATGCATATTTGTAGAAAAGCTATATTGTGGGCTTTTTTTTCTTTTCCATTTGTACCCTCTTTATTCACTATTTCCATTGTTTTAAATATCCTCGACATGGCCTGATATATCTCCTGATATATCCTTTTACAAGGCTTGTCGCAGTGGTCTCTAAATATCCTTTATTGCTTTTTAGCTCTTTTTGGGTGATATATTCCCGATATGTTTGATATCTCAGTTGATATGTTGACTGATACATCCTTTTATTTGGCTTGTCACAAAATAATATACCGTGTTTGACAATTTTAGGGTGAGATATCATGACTTTCCCATTATATCAAATGACATTTTGGCTGAAAAAATTAGATGAAATGTTGTAATGTGGATTTGTGCTTTTGTTTGTTTTACAAGGTTGGTTAGTGATCCTAAACATATATTATTTACATGTTTTATGCTTAGATTTTATTAAGTATGTTGATTTTAGAGTATTGTACTATATATGCAAATATCTGTTATGGTATTCTGATATTTACCACATATTTCTAGTATTTAGCTGATATTCGCAATCTGATATAAATTTTGGTTATTTGATATTTCCCTGATATTCTATATTTAAAACCTTGACTATATATCTAGAGAAGGGTAATTTAGGGAAGGTTTAAAATAAGGGTTATGTTGGGGATTTTTTTTTTTTTTTTTTGAATAAAAAGAAAATGAGAGAAATTTAGGGGGGTTATGTTGGGGATTTTTTTTTTTTTTTTTTGAATAAAAAGAAAATGAGAGAAATTTAGGGAAAACAAAATGGGAAAAGTTTTGGGAAAAATAAGTGATTTAATCCACTAGTTTTTGGCTAAATTAAGTGAATACTAATATTTCTTAATTTTTATATTAAAATAAAAGAAATTTGAATTCTACAAGTTATACTTTAAATTTTGAAAATCTTACACTAAAGTTTAATATTGATAAACATAGACACATCAATAACAGCCTAAGCTTTTGACGGAAAAAATTGTATATATAATTTAGTGTAGGACAAGGAGTAACCCTTCCTTCAAAATATAGAAAGTTCTTTGTATTAAACATTTGAAAAGGTCAATCTTTGCATATCATACTCCCTTTAAAAGCACGAGTTCGGAAAATCTTTTTTAGACAAATATACCCCTTTATAGTTTAAACTATCCTATCTATAATCAAATTCTAATTTTTGAATTTAATTTAATGACAATTTTCGTGAGAAATTGCTTATTCGTGAGCTAAATCAAACCTGTAATCTGTTATTTTCATGATAGGAATAAGTAATTACACAATTATCCGTAACAGATTTGATATTATCATAATAACAGAACATTTATCCGTAATCTGTTCTTAAATCCGTAATAAAAGATTATTAAATCCGCATAATAACAGTGAAATTATCATAATAACAGAACTTTATCATAATTGAATTTTGAACATTTATCATGTGTTAAATTTAATGACCATATATCAAGTGTTTCATATGCGCATGGACTCTTTATCTGTTCTTAAATCCGTAATCTGTTATTTCCATGAGAAATTGCTTATTCTTAATGCATAATTTGAATCGGTAGTAGAAAATAACTGTTACCCATAATAACTGCATTATCTCGTTAAACATGAAAGTAACAGTGCGTGAACTATCATAACTATCAGAACTATGATAACAAATCAAACTATGTTATATATCGGAACTATCAGAACTATTTTATCATAACAGATTATCGGAAGATTATCAGAACTATGTTATTATCATTTGAATATCGATAACAAATCCGCACGATTGATTAAATATTCTAATTATGATCAAATCCTAATAAAACTCTAATTATAACTATTATCCTATCACATGCAATACCACATGCCTATATATAAACCAAGAAATTACACAATTTTCATAGTAACTCTCCATCTCCTTCAACATGAATGTTTTTTTTATATTTTTATGATTATTCTTTAAAAATATTGTGTATTTAATTTAATGGTGATATTTGTTTTACGCTGCAATTAATTTTTATGGAAATTGATTTTTTTTCAAAATTCTTCAATTTTCATGCAGAATTTAGAGGAATAAAGATTTGATTGTTGCAGGTTCTCACATATATCAAGGTAAATCTTCATGTTTGATATTATTTTAATTTAGATTTATTTAATTATATTTATTTCTTCTTCTTCTTGTTTTGAAATAGGTTTAGTTTGTTTGAGTGCATAGTGCATACGGACAATTGATTATGCTATGATTTAAAACAACAAATATTGTAATCAATAAATATTAAAATTCGATGATAATTAGTAATAAAAACTTAGATTATATACCTATAATTAGGCTTAAAGATTCCTTATGTATAACCTTTTTTGGAATGCAAGTCGCATGCTTGTTCAGATTTAGAGGTGATCGCCCATTTTTCCTCATTTCGGAATTTGTCAAGGATGAACTTTTATCTGCATCTGTTGTAGATATCACTAATGATATAGAAACACAAATGCTTTGTAAGCGACAAAACAAAACCTTCACTCGAAAGATAAATGATATAGTTTCTTACCTTTGGAACTTGAGGCTGTAAGTCTGGTGCTTAGTTCGAACGAGAAGACTCAATATTGCCCTGGGTAGACTGAAACGTATTGTGCCTTTGAAGAGAGAGCTGCATATGTCTGAGGACTCTAAGAATCTTCCATTGATCCCGTTCCGATGAGGCATGAAATTATCCTTATTTAATGTATTGTGTATATCTGCATCGTGTTGCCGTATTATATGCTTCGCTATGCTACCACTGTCTCTGATGTGCTATGTTCACAAAGTGCTATAAATAAAAAAAGGAACAATATCTGATGTCTGTATGTCCATATTATTTATCTATTTGATATATATAACCATGATAAATGATATCCGCTTTTTTATTATAAGTCTATATGTGAGGTTGTGTCGATTGCAATAATAGTTATGATAAATGGTGCTAAATCTGTAATGATTCTCAGTTATAATAATTTAATTCTCTTATGATATTATTTGAATGATTTATTTTTTGATCATTAGAAGATCGCCATGACTCCCCGGAATTGCATCAGCCTGCCTCTGCCTGAGCTTTGGAGCAAGTATGTTTAATGTTGATTGTATTTATTTTTACCTCTAACCAGTGAAGGTGCTTTTCTTGTCAGTTCGCGATTGTATAACTAGATTTCACTGTTTTGCAGTGATTGGTATCTTATTATGTTGGATATAAGTTTCAGAACATATATGCTGCAATAAGTTATTTATTGAATATCTATGGGGAGGTGTTTTATCATGAATATTGTTACTCAAAAGGTAATATCATGGCAGTGTTGTGATGGCGCCAGTTTTCCTATCCACCCCCCCCCCAAACATCAGACTACAGAGCTTAAACCAACCAGAAGTAACTGCTAATAATCATGCTAAGAAGTTTTCATATTTATTTTCTTAATATGTCTTAAGTTCAGATGAGTGGAACTTGAAGGATCATGATAATACTAATTAGTAGGGAGAACAATATTGTTTAATCATTTTATATCACAACTTAATTTTTGAGTACAATTAGGAATTTTTATAAGGCATTTTCATGCAAAATTATTAGTAGTTTTATATGCTTATGTGATTACTTACATCACATAAAATCATGTGATCTAACATTTATGATATAAAGGTCTACCATTTATGATATAAAGGTGGCCTCTTTAACCAATTGGCAAAGAATTACTGTTGAGCCATATTTGATTTGTCCTGTATCCGTAAAAATATGTTTAATGTTTACTGTTGTGATGATTTTGCTTGGGGGTTGTCACAAACTTTAATATTAATCAATGTTTTCAAAAAAATTCCTTGGCTTACTAATTATTACTTGTTGAGATTGTTTCCATGTTGAATAAGGGACCAAATTTTCCTGTTGGGTGTTGGTGGTGGTGATCAATTTAAAATTCCTAGAAGAAAAAGAATTTACAAGTTTGCAGTAAATCAAACAATGATCTTAGCTTTTTGAGTCAAAAATATTTGAATAAACATAAAATTTTGGAATATTTTCTTTATTACTATAACTACAATTCATAATAACAATTACCATATCCCAGTTATGTATCTTCATCCAAGTTTAGCTTAAAATCCATTACATTTATTTTTATTAATATTTAAATAAAATACTAATAAATCTTATAATTCAATTATACATATTTAAACTCAAGATAAATCTCACTTATTTAAAGTAATGAAATAAATACAATTTTTTAATATTTAACCACGTGCATTGCGCGTGCATAAAAACTAGTATTTAGTAAATAAAGAGGGTTATTTTAGGAAGGGTCATCATAGTAAAGATATTTACTTTGATATCACATAGTAAATAAAGAGGGTTATTTTGGACCCAAATTTTCTAAAATAACCCTCTTTACTTACTATTGTTGTGTGAGAAAACATGTACGTTGCAAATGCACAACTAGGTTATAATATAGAAAAATGTCAAACCATAAGAAGTGGTTTTTAAAAAAATTTAAATTAAAAAATTTCCTTTTGAAAAGTTATTTGAAAAGAGGGGGGATTTTTTTATGGAAAAGTGTTAAAATGGGGATTTTTGATTTTTGATAAGAAAAGAAAATAGGAATAGAAAGAGGGAGAGAAGAGAGAATAGAAATGCAAATAAAAAAAGAAGAAATAAAAGGAAAAATAAGAGAAAAGGGGGAGAGAAAATGAAGAGGTAGAAGAACTAGAAAGACATTACAAAAAAAATAAAAGCTGACAACTGACAAAACTAAGGAATAAAAAAGAGAAAGTGCTAGAGTATTAAAC